ATATATTTGGGGTATTGGGCCCAAATATATATGATTTAAATAAATAGCCCAAATATATGGGCATTTGGTGTTGGGCCCAAATACCGGTCCATACATGTATCAAGGAAGATCTCCAAATCACCGCCTCATCATCTTCTATAAAACCTAAGAACTACGGTGGCTTGATCTCTAAGTTCAACATCCCCGAACTAGAGTACGTAGGCAACTTCGACCTCAACCGAAGTGTAGCCCTTTTCATCATCCAATCCCCCATTAGGTCATCAATATTCATCCGACCTAAGGTAATGTATTAGTCTGAAATCAGGTTAATACAAGTCCAATACCATCATATCCGAAAGGGAAGAGAAGCCCTCCAACTCCAATGGATGTACATAAACTCCTAGAACGAACTTTTAAAAGGTACCGCACTCTGTATATGCAGTTAATTTGAACCGCAAAGACTGAAATCTAAATCTTTACGCCTAAATTGATATTGCGAGAGCTATAAGAATGACTGAGATTGATAAAAATATATAGCTGACAGCTCCCACACGTACAGATGAGAAAGATAGACGTAGAAACCAAATCGCAACCAATAATAGTAGCCCGGATCACCAATCTTAGATTAATGTGTGAAAGAAACTTTGTTGGAACCCATTTAACAATCATATATAAACAAAACCAATTGAAATGCAAAGACTGGTGTTAGATGATACTTATATACAGCAATCAGCACATGCCTTGAAACTGGTAAGAAGGAGGGAAGGAGTGTTCTTAAAAAAAATTGGTCAATGTATATGTAGAATTGATTCAACTATTGTAGTTTTACAAATAAATAATGGGTAAATATTAGGGATCCATGTTGAACACGAGTATACTTGTTTATAACTTGTGTATATGTCTAACTGTATCTTTTTGTTTGATTATATTCACACAACTATGAATTAAATAATGTCTAATTAAGAGCCATGGGTTCACACATATTATTTAGTATGGTTTTATTTTTTAATAAAGATACTTTTCTCTATTCAATATCTTTGTTTGATTTAATTTAATAAATTTTTTTTTTAAAATAGTTTATTATTATATCTCAAGGC